TATTTATTTTTTCAAAGAACCAACTTTTTGTTTTGTCAACTTTTTTCAGTTGTTTCTTTTGCTTCAACTTCATTGATATCAGCTCTGATTTTAATTATTTCCTGTCTTCTACTGCTTTTGGTGTTGATTTGTTCTTCTTTTTCTAAGGCTTTGAAATGTAATGTTAAGTCATTTGTTTGTTAGTTTATCTTCTTTTAAGGAATGAACTCCATGCAATGAACTTTCCTCTTAGTACTGCCTTCATAGTGTCCCAGAGATTTCACTATGTTGTATCTGTGTTCTTATTCACCTCTAAGAATTTTTAAATCTCCTCCTTGATGTCTTTTGCAACCCATTGCTCATTCAGTAGTATATTATTTAGTCTCCAGGTGTTGATGAAGCTTTTATTTTTTATTTGATCATTGATTTCTAATTTTATTCCATTATGGTCTGATAGATGCCGGGAAGTATCTCTACTTTTTTGTACTTGCTAAGAGTTGCTTTGTGGCATAATATATGGTCTATTTTAGAGAAGGATCCTTGTACTGCTTAGAAGAATGTGCATTCGCTTGTTGAAGATATATATGTCAATTAAATCTAAGTTATTGATTATATTATTGAGTTCTATAGTTTCTTTATTCAGCTTTTTTTGGAAGATCTATCTAGTGGTGAAAGAGGTGTGTTAAAGTCACCCAGAATTACTGTGTTATGGTCTATTTGACTGTTGAACTTAAGAAAAGTTTGTTTGATGAACTTTTGGGGGCATATATATTTATAATTGTTATGTCTTGTTGATGTATGGTTCCCTTGAGCAATATGAAGTGTCCTTCTTTGTCCCTTTTGATAAACTTTAGCTTGAAGTCTACTTTATTTGATATGAGGATGGAAACCCCTGCTTGTTTCCACAGTCCATGTGAGTGGTATATTTTTTCCCAACCCTTCATCTTCAGTCTGTGGATGTCTTTTCCTATGAGATGAGTCTCATGAAGGCAGCATATTATTGGGTCTTTTTATTAAATTCAATCTGCTTGTGTATGTCTTTTGATTGGTGAGTTTAGGCTATTAACATTCAGGGTTATTATTGAGATATGATTTGTATTCCCAGCCATTATTGTTTATTTTTGGTATTTAACTTGACTTGATTTCTTCTTTGATTAGTTTTTCCTTTAGTGTAACACCTCCCTTTGCTAATTTTCCTCATTGTTTTTCATTTCCTCTTCATGGAATATTTCGCTGAGGATGTTCTGTAGTGCAGGGTTTCTAGTTGTAAATTCTTTTAATTTGTTTATCATGGAAGGTTTTTATGTCATCATCAAACCTACAGCTTAATTTTGCTGGATATAAGATTTTTGGTTGGCATCCATTTTCTTTTAGAGCTTGATATATGTTGTATCAGGATCTTCTAGCTTTCAGGGTCTGGGTTGAAAAATCTGCACATAATCTAATTTGTTTTCCGTTATATGTAATCTGATTCCTTTCTCTTGTGGCTTTTAATATTCTCTCCTTATTCTGTATGTTAGGCATTTTCAGTATAATGTGGCTTGGTGTGGATCTGTTGTGATTTTGTACGTTTGGCATCCTATAAGCCTCTTGAATTTGGTTTTCCAATTCATTCTTTATGTTTGGAAAATTTTCTGATATTATTTCATTGAATAGATTGCTCATTCCTTTGGTCTGAAACTCTATTCCTTCCTCTATCCTAATAACTCTTAAATTTGTTCTATTTATGTTATCCCATATTTCTTGAATGTTCTGCTCATGATTTCTTATCATTCTCACTGTGTTGTCTACATTGTTTTCAAGATTATATATTTTGTCTTCATTGTCTGAGGTTCTATCTTCCAAGTGGTCTAATCTGTTGGTGATGCTTTCAATTGAGCTTTTAATTTGGTTTATTGTTTCTTTCATTTCAAGGATTTCTGTTTTTTTTAAGTACCTGTATCTCCCTAAGTTGATCTTTTGCTTCCTGTATTTGTTTATGTAGCTCTTTGTCAAAATGATCTTTTGCTGCCTGCGTTTGCTCTCTTATATCATCCTTTAATTCACAGAGTATTTTAATCGTGTACATCCTGAATTCCTTCTCTGTCGTTTCTTTTGCTGTGCTGGCCATGGATTCTAATAATATGGTATCTTGATATGTTTGGGGCACTTTCTTCCTTTGTCTTTTCATATTGCTTGTGTGTCTTCCCTTCTAGCACTGTGGATCTGAGGTATTACCATTTTTAACCCTATAGGCTTATAGTGCCCCTGTTGGGATCCAATACCTCTCCTTTGAGGTGAAGGACAATGTTATCAGATCCAAATATAAACAGTATTCACACTGAAAATAAATGTTTGTGATTAAGACATTTGCAGTTTCATCACAATATACAGAAATGGTGAATTAAATTATTATCTACAATATACTCAGTAAGTTTGTAAAAGGGTTTACAGTTTCTGATGGTGGACAAAGAACTGAAGGTGAGGAGAAGGATGATATGCTGAGGAGGTAGGAGGTGAGCATATAGTTATTATATCTTAGGAAGTGTGAAAGAGAAATCTAAAGAAGAATATTAGTAGAAGGAGAAGGGAGAGGAAGTAATTTTGGGTAGACAAGTAAGTGGGACGACAGTAGAGTACACAAAACAAACACACATATATATTGAGAAAAATTAAAAATGTTAAAATATTAGAAATTGGTGGGATAAAAGAAAATACATATATATTCAACACAGCTGCAATATCTTATTCAGACGCCCCAGTCCTCAAAATCCTACTTCATGCAACGTACTTGGTTTCACATATGTTGGAGATGTGAGGGCAGAAGAACAGGGGAGGGGGTGGAGGAAAAAAAATCTTGAAGGAAGAAACTAGATTGTTTTGGTCAGAAATCCGAATCTTTCCTGCTTCCCTTCTCATCCAATAGGTTGGGTCATCTGTTGTTAGCTGGTACCTTTGCCCTTGGGGTGGTGAAATTAACCAGGGTGTCACTGTGCCAGGTAGTGGCTGCTGGGGAAACAGGGGAATTAGAACCTGGGTATCTGACTGGCTGGAGTTCCAAACTGGGTGTTGCCCCCCACTGAAGAGAGTGATGAAGGTGGCCATGCTGCTTTCAGCAGTGGGCTGTCGAATTGTGTGGGGGGAGCCACCAATGATGTTGGAGGATGAGTTCAGAGACAAGCTCTTGCAGTGTGTGGCTGTGGGCTTACTTCAGAGTCTATGTGAAGTTCTTGGGTTCATGCAGGCCACTGCGTGCAGTATCTCCACTGTTGCAGAGCCCCAAGATGGCAGCGACTGGGGGAGCCCCCGATGGGGGTCCACACAGGAATGGCGACTGGAGTTCCTGCCATGTGGGAAGTGCCAGATGTCCTGCGTGGGAGTGGCTTCGGTGATTTCTGCTGGGGTGGGTGGCTAATAGTTCTGCACAGGTGTTGATGGTGCTCATGAGGGTACCCAATCGTCCTGCGTGGGCAAGAAGTTGAGAGACCTACTCTCAAATACACCCATTTAAATAGAATAATGTGCAGCTGTTGGAGTGAAAAAAAGGTAGCTCTAGATGTATGGATACAGAAGCTGTGATGACAAACAAAATTCAGGGTGTAAACATTAAAAATGTACCTCTAGCCAGGCATGGTAGCACAAGCCTGGAATCCCAGTGACCTGGGAGGCTGAGGTAGGAGGATCATGAGTTCAAAGCCAGCCTTGGCAACTTAGTGAGGCCCTAAACAACTCAACAAGACCCTGTCTCTAAAAAATTATAAAAAAGGGCTAGGGACGTGGTTCAGTGGGGAAATACCCTTGGGTTCAATCCCTGGTAACAAAAAGAAAAAAGAAAAAGAAAATGCACCTCTAAATAGGTATTAGTATATGCATAGTGGGGAAAAAACTGCCAAAATTCACACTACACTGATTGCACTGGTTACCCAATAGCAAGATGAGATTAGAGGAGACATTTCTACATTTAGATTTTAATATTGACTAAACTCTTACGAGGAGTGTTATTACTTATATAATCAGGAAAAAAAGATAAGACAATTCTATGATATTGATAATAGTCAAAAATGGAGAGAGGGTTATTATCTTCAGGAGTGGGCAAATTTCAAAAGGTGCAAACCAGGTCTGTATGTGGAATTTGCACATTCAGGCAGGGAGAAGTGTTGCATGCCATGTTGACTCACAATAGTGCCTCAGTAACCCCTAATAATTAAGATTGGAATAATAGAATAGATACAGTTTGTTTTTTTCTCCAGTTCACCACAGTCTAGGTACTTATTGCCTGTCCCAACCAGCACGGCCAAACTATCAGGTTCCAGCAAGGGGCTATGGGAGATTGGAAGAGATAGTCAATACACGCAGATCTTGAAGATAAAGCTGGGGTCCAATGGAATGATGCTCTCTGATGGAGAAGCAGGTCTAAAGAATTACACCAGCAATCTTTATTATATATGTCTCTAAATCAGATTAAAGATTATGCAGGCATTATTCTTTGTATTCATGAAAGTTACAGAGTTAGCAACAGTATGCAGTTGTTTCCTCAGTTACATTCTACAGTTGCAATATGCAATGTTAGGAGAATTATGCAGCTCTCAAGAAAGTTCATTGTTTAAAGTTACTAATTCGAGAGTAGATTCAGGAGCAGCCGAACTGGTAAAATGTTGTTATCTTAGCAAGGAAGTTCCTTCATTCCCAGGAGCTGCTGTGCCTGAGATTAAGGTCGAAGCTGATAAGACTCTAGCATGGAGGACATCTCCATTAGCAACTGGGCAGCCTATGCCTTTGCACAAAAACTTTCCCAGTCACGAAGTATGCCACAGCCATGAAGTCATAAGGGACCCCAGTCTCAGACACTGGTCTCCCAGTCACTGTCACCACTCTCCACAATTGCCCAAAGCTCACAAAACAGGTTTTGTGCTATGAGGTTATTGCAATGTAAGGTCATTTAATATTCCTGCTTATTGCTCCCAGATAATCAGTTCTCTCCTGTTCCTTTTCCAACATCTTCTCAGTCCTTTTTCAAAAAGTGGACACAAGAGGGCAGCAGGTCCACATAGAAGGAGAGCACTCAGGCATTATAATCATAAAAAGCAAAACGGTAATGCCTTCATAAAAATATCACCAAAAGTTTAGAGAGTTCAGCATCTTGCTCTAAATGTGTGTGCAACCACATTTGATATTCTGTTATAAAAGATAAACAATGGGTGGAAAAGAGTCATGCTGGTGAGAGGAGCTAATGTGTTTCTTTCTCTTCCAGATACTGGCCAATAAGAGGTGAGATAGAACAGAGAGCCATCTAGGTAGAACCTAAGAATTAATCCCAATGCAAATTCTTGCACCAGGATGGAAGGTGAATCATTCTTCAATGCAACTATGGTTAACAGCACCCTGGTAAATCACCAGCCTTTGGAGCGCCATGAACTATGGGAAGTTGTTACTATCGCAGCTGTGACTGCTGTGGTCAGCCTAGTCACCATCGTGGGCAACGTCTTGGTCATTATCTCCTTCAAAATCAACAGTCAGCTCAAGACAGTTAACAATTACTACCTGCTGAGCCTAGCCTGTGCAGATCTCATCATTGGGGTCTTCTCCATGAACCTCTATACCACCTACATCCTCATGGGACGCTGGGCTCTTGGGAGTCTGGCTTGTGACCTTTGGCTTGCACTGGACTATGTGGCCAGCAATGCTTCTGTCATGAACCTTCTGGTGATCAGTTTTGACCGTTACTTTTCCATCACAAGACCCCTGACATATCGGGCCAAGCGTACCCCAAAGAGGGCTGGCATCATGATTGGCTTGGCCTGGCTGATCTCCTTCATCCTCTGGGCCCCAGCCATTCTCTGCTGGCAGTACTTGGTTGGGAAGCGGACAGTACCACCAGATGAGTGCCAGATCCAGTTCCTCTCTGAGCCCACCATCACTTTTGGCACGGCCATTGCTGCCTTCTACATCCCTGTTTCTGTCATGACTATCCTCTACTGCCGAATCTACCGGGAAACAGAGAAGCGAACCAAGGACCTGGCTGACCTCCAGGGTTCTGACTCTGTGGCTGAAGCCGGGAAGAGAAAGCCAGCTCACAGGGCTCTGCTCAGGTCCTGCCTTACCTGCCCTCAACCTACTCTGGCACAGAGGGAAAGGAACCAGGCCTCCTGGTCATCCTCTCGCAGGAGCACCTCCACCACTGGAAAGCCATCCCAAGCCACTGACCCAACCACCGACTGGACCAAAGCTGAGCAGCTCACTACCTGCAGCAGCTACCCCTCCTCAGAGGATGAGGACAAGCCCACCACTGACCCTGTCTTCCAAGTGGTCTACAAGAGTCAGGAGAAGGAAAGCCCAAAGGAAGAATTCAGTGCTGGAGAAACAAAGGAGACTTTTGTGAAAGCGCAAACTGAAAAAAATGACTGTGACACCCCAAAATACTTCCTGTCTCCAGCAGCTGCTAATAAACTCAAGAGTCAAAAATGTGTGGCCTATAAGTTCCGATTGGTGGTAAAAGCTGATGGGACCCAAGAGGCCAACAATGGCTGTCGCAAGGTGAAAATCATGCCCTGCTCCTTCCCAATGTCCAAGGACCCTTCAGCGAAAGGCCTTGATCCCAACCTCAGCCATCAAATGACCAAAAGAAAGAGAATGGTCCTTGTCAAAGAGAGGAAAGCTGCCCAGACCTTGAGTGCCATTCTCCTGGCCTTCATCATCACATGGACCCCTTATAACATAATGGTCCTGGTGTCCACCTTCTGTGACAAGTGTGTCCCTGTCACCCTGTGGCACTTGGGCTATTGGTTGTGCTATGTCAATAGCACCGTCAACCCCATCTGCTACGCCCTCTGCAACAGAACCTTCAGGAAGACCTTTAAGATGCTGCTTCTCTGCCGATGGAAAAAGAAAAAAATTGAAGAGAAATTGTACTGGCAGGGGAACAGCAAGCTACCCTGAAGAGTTCACATCTCCCGCAAAAGAATAATGACCATGTCTTGTTTATGTGTTTTTAAAATGTCATCTGTCATTTAGAGTCCCTGAATAGTGTTCTAAATTGCCAAAAGAAAGGTGTTACAGGAGGTAATTGCTGCGGATACTAAAAGATTCTTGCCTATCACCACTAGAGTTTACCAATGAGGTAGACAGAACCGTGACCTTTCACTGGAAGCACACTCAGGTCACAAGGAACAATGACCTATAGAAACATTTATCTAGTTTTCTGTGGGGCACAGCAGGGACCAGATGGAAACCCTCCCTTGTGGAAACCTGTCATAGAGTTTTGTGCAATATTTGTCTACGAAGTTGTCTTGTACCGGTAAGAATCAGGAGAATGTCAGTATCATCTATTAAGAAGAATGATATTCAACTGACTTCTAAGAATGTCTTCTTCATAAACTGATCAGTATTTATTATGCAGCTGTTACGTGTTCTGTATTGTGTTATGTTTTCCTGCCCCTACATCTGAAGGAAGCTATTGATCTTCCCTGTCATGACCATGTCAATTCCTGTGCCCACTCAAACCACGCTGATCTCCACGGAACCATTGTTCCTCTTAGAATCTGGGTCCAGAAAGATACTGGGACCTGTAAATACCCAGTGCTTTAGAGGGGCACCTATTCTGCAAATAAAGATAATTTAGTCTCTACAGTCAGTTATTTTCATTTTTACCAGTGGGATTCTTTTAGATAAAACCAAAAATATATATTGTGTATTCTATTTTGTGCCCATATGAAGCTATTTACTTGTGCTATGTTCGTAGGAGGACTAGTAGTATAACAGCCTTCATTGGTAAAGATCTTCTACAGGATATTTAATCATGGTTCTTTTATACTGTTTTACCAGAGCTTGCTTTATAATTTCTTCACAAGACAAAACTGAAGCAAAATGGAAAAACAGATTCGGTTTCACTTCGGGCTTTTGAATTTCTCTAGGAGCCCTTTGGAAAGTCCCCAGTTTCCCTCATGCAGACCCCTAGATCACACTCAGGCACAGGCAGGTCACTGTGCTGCCTCCAGGCAGAAGTGCTATGTAGGGCACACAGAAGAGAAAAGCTTTATTTTTCTAAAGGTCCTTCAAACAGGGATGCAGAAATTATTTACTTATTCATTCCTTGCCAAATACAGTCAAAGATGAGAAGCCCAGAAAAGCCCAACTGAGGTTCATCGGAGACAACTTAAAAACAAAATTTTCAGCTAGAGGGGTGTTGCTCTGTAGTAGAGCACTTGCCTAGCATGTGGGAGCATTTGTCTAGAGTTAAGCTCCATTAGCAAAACAAAACAAAAAAGTGAAACCTTCATCTTTAAAAACAGGTCATAGTAATGCATAAAAATAAAAGTTACACACATTAGAGGATTGGGATCATTAAAAACCAATTTAACTGAAATTTCTATATTTAAACAAACTGAATCTAAGATGCTTCTTTGAAGCTTCTGAAAATAAAATAATGTACAAGAAATTGAAACTATGAAATAGATCATAAAATTAATGAAAGATCCACAAAGAAATCAGCACAGTGGTGCACAAAGAGTTCAGAGATGAGGCACTCCCATCAGAAGCCCAGTCTTCAACAGGTTGACTATATCTGCTGCTGTGAGTGAAAAGCTCCAGACTTCATTTGACTTAATGTAGGCTAGCTTTTTTTCCAACTTCATTTGCTAAGAAAATGGAAAAAAGAGCCCCTTTAGTTGTTCTGGGAGTTAGTTATATACTTGAGTACAAGGAGAGCTTCCACCTACCCCTGAAGAGTAATCCTCTAGCCAAGGAGGCTTCAAGGTGGGAGACTCTCTCACGAGGACAAGGCTGGTCCACCCAGGCCTTTCTTCCAGCCCTGTAGGGACTTGACCCTGGGATGAAACATCTTGGAAGCACCATAGCTGCTGAGGCTTTGTGAAGGGCAGGTTAAGACCTGCCAAGAATCTAGTGGAGAATATTAATTAATTGGCTCAGTTCTTCAGAACAGAGGCTCCCAGGCCTACATGATATCAACAGAGTGAGACTTCATAAGCAAACCTACTCCACCAACTCTAGATAAACGGTTGATTCTTTCCATTTAAGGATTTGGTTCCTGACAAAAATGAAAATCACTCCATGAGAATAGCAGTTTAAGCCCATATTGGGCATTCATTGTTCATAGTAGAGAGATAAGCCAATTCAAACAAAAGAATGCAGAACTGGATCAGGGATGGGGTGCTGTATTCCTTCTTTATCCTTGGCTTTGGAAGGCCCCAGTTTTGCAGAATATCCATGCCCCTTGATATAGACAAAAAAAAAAAAAATGCCCCAAACTACTAAGGAAAACTAGACTTCTCTAGAGTAGGTCCTTGAGTGGAGTCCCCAGAATGAACAGATCCAACTGTAAACAAAAGGGACTGGGTGCATGTGTGAATGGGGCTTGAGCTGACTTTAATCTTAGGCCTTCTATGCCCCCAGTCTCCCAAGCTCTGCCTACGGTAAATACAGCTCTGACGGTCTGCTGAATGCTGTTTTGTTGCTAACAATGTGATTTGTTTCTCTTCAGCTATGAATTTGATGGCCTGTCATGGAATCTTTGTTTTCTGTACAACTTTTGGTTAAACAAAGCATTTAGTCAATATTCCTGGCCTCTGCTTTGCTCCTTTGGTGAATGTCCTTTGAGGTGATGTTGGCTTTTTGTAATTGTGAAATCTGCACCTAAACCTCTGCATTGGAATATCCAGTTGTCTTCTGTAAATACTGGAACTACAGCAAAACATTTGTATTGTCCTAATACTATTCTGGATATTAAAGAAATGTAATCACACAGTGGTCCAGTGCTAAGTGTTTAAATAAGAAGTCATCATGTTAGATCCATCCATGTTAGGGTCCACACCTTTGTATGCCCACACCTTTATAGAAAAGAAGGAGTATGAGTGTCTAATATGGATGTGTGTCTCTCTTGCTACCTGTTGTGATTCCCAGTTTGTTCCTCCAAGTTACCAATGACCAATTAAGAGTAAATAATGATGATGAGAGGTCTGTAACTAAAACACTTCCTGTCCCTCCACAAGGGAGGTGGGCAGACCTTGCATGATGGCCCTTTATCTGGTAAAGTAGATACGGAACAGCCATGTTTCCTGTTCAGTCAGATCATTATAAGTGATACTAAGTGATACTAATTTCCATCTGCCTCATGTCACTTCACCAGTAAAGTTCAAGATTACATAAACTCTCAGCCAAGAAAAGCCCAGGTTGAGAGTGGGAGGGAGAAGGAAAATAAATGTGTCATGGAAGAAACCAGAAACACATTTTTTTAAAAACAAACTTTTTTGAAATAATTTTGAGCTTGCAAAAGAGCTGTAAAAATAATACAAATAACTCTTACATTCCTCACCTACATTATGCACTTAACATTTTGCCACATTTGTGTGTGCATTCTCTCCATGTGTGTACACATTTGCATGCACATCTTTTTCCTCAACCATTTGAGAGTAAATTCAGACATTATGTCCATTTACCTCTAAATTTCTTAAGAACAAGGTTATTTCACAGGCCAAATGCAGTGGCATACACCTGTAATTCCAACTACTCAGAAGGCTGAGGCAGGAGGATCACAAATCTGAAGCCAGCCTGGACAATTTAGAAGATCCTGTCTCAAAAATAAAATTTAAAAAGGGCTGATGATGTAGCTCTGTGGTAGAGTGCTTGCCAAGCTTGAGCAAGGCCCTGGGTTCAATGACTAGTACCACAGAAGAAAAAAAAAAAGGGTAGGCGGGGAGAAAAAGAAAGAAAGGCTATTCCACAATACAAATATGAAAATCAGAAACTTTGACTTTGCTACAGTACTATTATGCAATCTATAGTCCATATTCAAATTTTACCAGTTACCCAAAGGATTTTTACTTTAAGGATGTCTTTTCCAGTTAAGGATTGAATTCAAGACCCCAGAGTGCGTTCAGTAGTTAGGTCATGTTTAGAAACCTTTAATCTGGAAGAGGGACTCAGGTTTTCTTTGTCTTTCATAATATGGTTGTTTATAAGAGTACTTAGAGTTCAATTTTTATAGTATTGAATTTTAGAGTTTTCTCCCATAATTGTTAATTTAATTTTATTTTATAAGTAAAATATCTGTATGTTTGTAAACTATACAAAAAGATACACTCAAAGAAGTGTCACTGCATCTTCTACTTCTTTCATCCCATTTATATCTTCCTTATAGGTAACATTTTTTTCAGTCTCCAGTTTTCCCATTTTTTTAAAAAAAATTGATTTAGTCATAGTTGGACACAATACCATTATTTTATTTTTATGTGATGCTGAGGATCGAACCCAGCACCCCACCTGTGCTAGGCGAGTGATCTACTGCTGAGCCACAATCCCTGCCCCCAGTTTTCCCATTTTTGTTTCTTTTTTATTTTAATAAACTTTTAGCCATTTTTAGGCATTGTATCCATGGTAAAAATATTATACATATACTTTTATTTTGGTTTCTAAAATTTAAGAAAATATTTACTGACTTTCTGCTATGAAAAATAAAGAATTGATTCTTCCATGGTGATAGCTACTTCCCAAACAGCCATCCCTCACCTTTCAAAGCTGTGCATACATGGGCATGGGTACTTCTATGAGAAGACCCTTTGTTGGGTACCATATGCTCTCCATCCAGCTAAAGATGTGGGTCGTAGGGAAGAAGACATAGTTTGCAGCTTGTTGGAGCATCTGCTGTTACTCAGAGCATCTGCTGTTCCATCAAGTAGAACAAGTTGGACAACTCTGGACACATTGAGTAATAACAGGAAAAAGACTGACTCAGATATATATTCACATTAATCTCAAAAGGGGCACAGTCAGCATTATCCTCCAATAGATTGCACTTTCCCTCATCTCCCGTCATGATTCATTAATTAATATACATGTTGATGGTGGTGGAGGAGGTAGGGTACAACCTTATATGTATCTGTGACCTGTGCTTGGGCAAAGAAAGCCAAGCCTGATTTTGCTCATTGCACTTGACTGTCATTCTCACCTGTCTAAGTCAGTGTGTCTCTCTATCTGCCCCAAAGTCCTAATTTCTTATTTTACATGGCTCTTAAGTCTCATACCACTAGGCTTCCCCAAGGATACCCTTATGTTCCCTTAAAAGCAGTTGTCCAAAGAGTATTCTTTTCCCAGTCCTTGGCCGTGATTTTCTGGAGAAATAAATGCATCTGTCCTGGAGTCCTAATAAATCAATGGCCCCTCTCTTTCAACAAAGAATGGTTCACACTTGACTCTCTTAACTGCAGTATCAGAAGCTTGGGAATTTGGGCTCATTTCCCATGTATCCAAAGACAGATACAGTCCAGCCACTTTTGATCAAAATCCAAGAAGCTATTGATCATGATATGCTAACTAGACTTCCTTCTGAACCATACAGTGGACTGCCATGGATAGAAAGTCCTTTGACAGGTCTGTTGGTACCCAGAAGGTAGAGTCTATTCAGCAAAGTCGTAAGAAAAATAAAGTCTTAACTCAAAAAATGATAGTAGCCAGGAACTGTGGTATATGCCTACAATCCCAGTGACTCAAGAGATTGACTCAGAGGATCACAAGTTCAAGGCCAGCCTCAGCAATTTAGTGAGACCCTTCTCAAAATAAAATTTTAAAAGGGCTGTGGGTATAGGTCAGAGGTACAGCACTTGCCTAGCATGT